AAATATATGTTTATGAAATAAAGTTTAATGTTACAACTAATCGTGGATCCCTTTAAATATGCTGTTGACTTTAAARTGCATGTGACATAATAAATTTGTGCATTTTTGAAACGATAACCTTGCTGCAAAAAATAAAAATCTCGTCTCTAAGATGAACAGTTGTTGAGATATTTTCATGTGAAGTAACAGGAAGTGAAATGAAAGGGGARTGTCTACATTTGAACCAAGCGTTGCGACGACAGCTGACAGAAAATATTTTGAGTCATCATCAGAGGCCTAAAGAAGGGTCAGCATTCAAATAATGTTTCAATAAACAAAGACCGTTTCCTTTAAGAGTCCCCCTTTGATGTCACTTCCTGTTTCACTGACAGTTTTGTGATTAAATTGCTAAAATTATGTGTATTATGCAAAATTTCTTAAATATAAAAATGTTTTCTTTGACTTTTTGTAATTGAAAGATATTCTTGTCACAAGCACTTTATTGTGCAATAGTTTTAAACTCATCTGCTATGATTTTTCATGTCCATTTGTCCATTTAATTCCTCTTTATTGAACTTAAACTCTCTAACATTTCAGGTTCATTATGAGCGGTCCAAGTCCAGCCATGGACAAAGGAATGAACACAGTTCTGGTTTGTCAAGAGAGCTATGCYTGCGGAGGGTCAGACGAGGCTGCGTTCGAGTGCGACGAGTGCGGCAGCCTGCAGTGCGCCCGCTGCGAGCTGGAGCTGCATCGCCAGGAGCGCATGAGGAACCATGACCGGGTCCGGATCACGCCGGGCCACGTGCCCTTCTGCGACTCCTGCAAAGGCGACGGCGGCTGCGCTGTCAGGCTCCGGGCGGCGGTGCGCTGCCAGGGCTGCAAGATCAACCTGTGTTTAGACTGCCAGAAACGCACTCACAGCGGCGTCAACAAGAGGAAGCATCCTCTGACCGCTTACCCTCCTGCTAAAGCTGCCCAGGAGAGCAGCGCTGAAGAGGAGATGGAGATCCTCAAATCGAAGCTGGGGAACGTGCGCAGCTTTCTGTTAGTCGACGAAAGGGAGGAGATGCAGGTAAGTGCTTGCATAAAACAAGTCATTGAATCAAAAAGGTCCACAGCTTCTGTATAAAGGGATCCATGATTAGTTGTAACATTAGACTTTATTTGATAAACATATATTTTAACTGTAAAGACTGTAAACATACTGTAGGCTGTTTAGTTTTGTAAATTTTAAAAAATATATTTTAACATGGACCGGGCCATTTTATTTACACACAAAGCATTCTGGGTAAATGATGACGTGGATAGGTCCTCGGTGTGAGTGAGCTATATCC